TACCGATAGGACTAATCGCTTAAAAAAAAAAGTTATAAAAAGTTTGATTGGATTCGGGCTTTCAATTTTTAATTGTATAAATTACAATATTATTCTAAATAATTTCAATAACCCAAATTCGATCCTGCGAAAAATCCTTCGTTTTTATCCTATTTCTTTCTTTTTATTGTTTACTCTCATCTTTCATCTTTTATTATCTTGTGGTGTACTTGAAGCTCCTTGACAGTTATATAAAGCATTCTTGTTTGTTTAATGAGTTTTTAATCTTAGTGGTTTCTTTGAGGATTTTCTCCTAAAAAATGTTTGCATGTAGCAAATTTTTTTGAAAATTTTCTTTGCTAGAACATAACAAAGAATCTATTTACTCAATTGCTCTCTTGCGATTGATTTAATATTACAACTACCATGATTATAATTAATATAACTTTAATATATTTAAGCAATTAAAAGAATATCATTTTTTGACCTTGAATAATTTGTAATGTATGTAAAAGTGTTATTTTTAATAAAAAAACATTATCACTACAAAATTAGCATCTTATGATTTAAATATGTTCACCATATTTGATTACTTTAAAAATCAGAAGAAACATAATGATGCAATAAATCTTTAATGAAAATAATTAAAGTCATAATATTTTTATTACATCCGTAAAGTTTATTACTATAACAAACAGTTATAAACGATTCGACTCAATTTTTATAATGAATAGAGTTGAAAAGTACGCAAAAAATATTTAATAAATTATTTATTTCTTTGACAGATTTACTATCACCTCTTAATAATAATTTTTTTTCAGTAAATTATATGATTTCACAGAAGAATAAACTTTTATTATTCTGTGATAAATCAAGTAACATTTCAAGTCAATGAGTTATTGCTAGCCGCCATTTTAATAATTGTCTTGAACTGCAGATAATGAAATAAAAGAGTTTATTGAGAATTCAATCTGAACGAATTTGGATATTTCTACGAATAATAGGTTAGTTTGATGATAAAAAATTGAAATATCCAATGTCTTTAATAATTATTTATTTAATCATCGAATAATACGGTAGGATTCCGTATTTTGATTTCAGAGATTGATTTTATCATGCTAATTATTCTTGAATTTTGCGTATACCGGATTAAAAGGGAATTCTTGAAGATTAAAACTCTATATTTACTGTTAGAATAATATCACCACAAAAGTAATGAATTTATTTACTTATTAGTTAGATATGTTGTTAAAATGTCTCTAGATAATAAATCCTATGGTCAATTATCCCTTGAAGCTCTTAATTGTTTATTATGAAATTTTAATCTCGTCAAAACTTATCTCCCAAGATGCTGTAAATTTCATTGAAAATAGATTACCTTCATCAAATCTTATTATTCATCAAATCGATTATTTGAATTTATCGATTTTATAATCTAAATAGAAAATCTTTTATAAACGTATTATCCCTTTTGAAAAATATATATTAATCAATATATACTTTTCCTTTAGAATAAAAAATTTAGAATATTTTTCAATTACGTCAAGTAAAGAATTTTATAATCGCATCACCTATTCCATATAATACAAAACTATAAGAACCAAGTAATATAACAATTTATACTTCTCACGGTAATGAATTTAGATGATTTAGATGAGATGAATTAATGCACGGATCTAATTTTAAAAATGAGATTATAATAATTTTCTCGCTTTTTTTATACTTTTCCGGCAGTCAACCAAATGCTTAGGTATTAGTTTTAAATGGTTATTGTTATAATAAAAATAATAATTACGGAATAAAAATTTTGAATACAACAATTAAAGCAAGCTCAAACATCTTTGGTATGGATGAATGGAGATGCGACATTAAATACTATATTGTCATTAATATAGTAGCTAATATACATCTTACTAATTTCTGACTATAAAATATATACATAAAATAGAAATAATTCTTTAAAATTAAACATATTTTTATATTTTATAGCGCTTATTTGTTTTTTGTATATGACTTATCTCTTGTTATATTTTATTTATTTTATTTATTTTATAATTATTATTTATTTATAAATAAATTTAAATATTTTTGAGCACCCGATGGAATCATACCTCGTGATAACAACTTTACTAATAAAATAATTAAATTACAGTGCAAGATTAATTATTAAAATTTCAGCTATCAAAAACTCTGTACTAAATAAGAAGATTAATTTATAATTCAATTTATTTTTATGAATTTTACGAAAATGATAAAGTTTATTCTTTCATGTGAGTAATGAAGAATAGTTGAGTTGATAATTTCACTATTCAATTAAAAATTCACTAAAATCACAAATAAATTAAAAATATATAAAAATATAAAAAATTAAATAATTCGATAATAAAATTAAATAAATAAAATAATTAATGATACATAATAATAAAAAATATAAAAAATAAAACAATTCAATAATAAAATGATAAAAAAAAATAAAATAATATACATTATAATATAAATAATACATATAAAAAGAAACAAATTTTGTCATGAAATTTGCAAGCCCGAATTCAAACCCCATATTCTTATTCAACTAAAGTTGAAATAAATAAATAAAATAAATAAATTTATAAAATATATAATGGCATAAAATGGAATCATATTAATCATTTGAATTATTGATGGTTGCTCAAATTCTATAATTGAAATACAACAACTTAAATTAAATGATGTACTTTTTAAATAAATATTTAATCATTAAAAAAATTAATAAAACATTACCTTCATGAATTACAAAATCAAATTTTTTAGTTTCATATGCTAAATTTAAAATGTACAAAATTACATTAATGTAGATTAGATTAAATTTTTGGTTTTTATTTGAATTAATAATTTAAGTAATTTTACCTAGTTGTTCTTCTATAAAACAAAATTTTTAAAAAAAATTAAAATAAAATATAAAATAAATATAAAAGATTAAAAATTAAAAATATATTACCGTCTGTGCCATTTCTAGGTTGAGCTGAAATGCTAAATGTATTTACTTTACCGGTTTGGATTTTTTGGCTGTTTTTATATTTTGTTAAGCTTGATTGGGAAAAATTGGAAAAACTTGACTTTGAACTATTTGATTGAATAGTTGTTTCTTGTTGAGCCATTTCATTATATAATGATAGAATCAATGAATCTATCTTATTTTTAATTGCTTTTGCATCAGGTCTATTATCAGGATTAGCATCCCAACATTGTTTCATTAAAGTTGTATATTCATATGGAATATATTTGTAAATTTTAGGTCGATATCCATTAATTATTGCAAGAACAAAATCAGAGTCAGAATTGAATTTATGATCACTAAAGGGAGTTTCACCAGTAATCACTTCCCACATTATAATAGCTAAACTGTACGTATCTGATTTTGTTGTATAACTTCTTTTATATAAAAGTTCAGGTGCAATGTATAGGAGATTCCCATAGATACTATCCAATTCTTTGTTAACTGGCCCAGTCAATCCTAAATCACTAATATACCAGGTATTATTTCGTGCAAAATATAAAATATTTCCTGAGTGCAAATCTTTGTGTATTATATTTTGTTCATGAATATTATTTAAACAATTTGCTATATGACTAATAATAAAATATTTTTCTAATAATGTAAGTAATTGATAATTATCTTTTAAAAAATGTCTTAAATCATTATCATAATAATTTAAGACTAACATATAATCTTGGGTGGTTGGATCTTTAGTTATTCCGTAACACGTAGCAAGAAATAGGCCAGTATTATCAACCATAAAACTTAATGTCACCTATCAATTTTTTGTAATTAAGTAATTAATATTTCTAAAAAACTAAAAAACTAAACAGAATATAATAAATGCAAAATAATTCATCTTACTTCCTGAAACCAATGCACGTTATTACTATTTGTATTATTCAATCTTTTCAAAACAATCTTTTGCCGTCCAAATCTTCCCAATATTTGTCTTTCAGAATTCCATTTATTATAGCCCCCATCTTTCCAATCTGCAGTATAGATAGTAGCACATCCTCCTTCTGCAAGATATTTAACATTTTCAAATTGATCATAATTAATCCATTCAATTACTCTATTAGGTTTTACAGTTGTTTGCTGACATTCTTGGATTAATTTGTCAATTTCATTGTTTCCAGATGTCCAATTTCCAAAATTATTTTCTAAATATTTACGAATACAAAATTCACAATATTGGTTTAACTGATGCCAATTCTGACAATTGTTGCATTGTTGGTTTTCTCCTGAATTATTATAAATTTTGAATCCATCATATATATTTTGTAATTTATTAAGTAAAAAATTCTTTTCATTTTCTGTGAGAGATGAATTATTTTTAATCGTATTTTCATAATACTTCATTACTTCAGCGTCTGTTTTATAAATACTGTCATCTAGAGAATATATCATTTTCCCCCAAAAAGCGTTTAATTTTTCATTCCATTCCATTTTTTGAGTATCCATTTCTTATTTCATTTAAAGATAATCTAATTTAAGGAATAAGCAATTTAATTAATATATAATTTATATAATTTATTGTTTATTAATTTAAAAATATAATATAAAATTACCGTATGTTATTTTTTAAATAATAGGCTTTTATTATTTCTTAGTGATTGGGATATATGTGCGCAGGAAATTATACTAGAAATGAGTTTTTTATACATATATTATTTTAGACGCAGAAGATATAAATAATGAATCTCCTGAATCTCCTGACCAATGTTTACTGCTTCTGTGTATTGATAATCAATCTAACTAATCTATTTTTGCATTATTTATTACTTATTTACTAATCAGTGTAACATGGTTTTATATATAGAAAAATTATTCACGAATTTTTAATGGTCGAATCTCCTTATCGAATTTAGGAACGCGTTATATCTAAACATTCACCAAACAAATTTTTAAACCGTGTTAGTGCTTTAATGCCTCGATCTATTGAATTCTTTAAAGGCATTATATCACATAACATCGTCGTTTAATTGTGAAAATTAGGTTAATTATGGGAAAACTTGTCATGGAATTAGGGATGAGGCGGTCCTCTGGTCCGGACTTGAGGACCTGGTCTTTAGGCCCTGAACCAACCAGAAATTCAAGAACGGTCGGTACCAGGTCTTATATATAATGTGATCATCCTATCAGATCATCCAATCAGATTATCAAAGTGTGGATCAGATGATCAATTTCAAAAATTTAAAATATATTTTAAAAATTAAATTAATGCTGTGGTAAAATAATAATAAAGTTCATTATATACTTATCTATAGAATCGGTGAGCTTGAATGGAAATATTTAAAAAAAAATCCTTCATTTGTTGGAATTGGAACCAGTGAAATTTGAATAGACGTAAGTATATTTTTATTATTTTTTATTTAATTTTTTTTAAAAAATAAAATAATATACTTAGTTTTCTTGAAATTGGCAGGTTTGAGACAAAAGAACTAAGAAAATAAAATAATAACTTATATTCTCTCCTTGGAATTGGAATCATTAGGTTTAGGACAGACGTATATAAAGGTACATATTTATTTTTTTTTTTAAAAAAAAAAATGCTTCTTTCTTCAAAATTAGTTAGTCTAAGCAGAAGTACTCAATGATAATACCAATATCTAAATATTCATTTTCTTAACCACTTTCTTCTATATAAGAACCATTTTTTTGTTTTATGATTAATTTATTGAATTGGTTAATACAATTTTATAAATATATTAACAGGTATGTAGTAAATATTTATTTTTTAGTAATTAAAGGGACACTAATAAATAAATTCTCTCGCGAAATATGGCGCAGATCGTGCAGATCCCAAAGTCGTAGCCAAATTTATTTTCCCTCGACTTTTATTTCGCTTACTTTTAGCATAGAAAACCCCTTCTATCTTTCAGCCTGTCTTTTATAGCCTTCATGGTCCATTTTCCTCATATAGAATCTTTGGTAGCTTTTACTATAATTTATTAAACAAATTATGTTAAAAATAAGATCAATATAGTTAAATAACCAAGAATTGTAATATGGCAGCTTACCTTTAATTGAACCCAGGACTTTATAGTAAAGTTGCTCTCCTGATAATATTAAAATACATTATCAATTGTATAAAGTGTAACTGAGCAACTTCTTCTGTATTATATAGTCATTGTTGTTATGTCATTAAAAGTAAAATTTTCATCACACTAAGTAATATGCACACACCTTCAGTATCATAGTAACTTTTGTTTTATTCGTTTTGTAATTTAATTATTATTATCTTTATTATATTTCGATATAGTATTTAAAATAAAAGTGCTTGATCTTTAATAATTACTCCTTGCCTTTGATAGGATAGTAAAAATTAAATTAAGCGCTTTCAGTAGTTTTTAGAATGTCCTCCAAAGTCGCCGCAGTCTCTCCGTTGGCTTGTTTCATATCCGATAATTTTTTTACCGCCTAATTTAGTGTTTAAAGTGTCTTCGGCAATATCAGCAGTGCCTATATGTTAACTCTAATTTATCCCTTAAACTGTTTTGCGGGCGGGCGAATTTGCCGCAATTTATAAAAATTAATATATGTTGTTATAAGTTTTTTTTATATATTATATATTATTTATTTTTTTTTTTAATTCTTTCTTATCATATTTAATTATTAATTATTATTCATTTATTCATTATTTGTTATTACTTAGTAGTTATTGTATTAGTTTTAGAATTGACATATATTATGTA